CCAGGAGGACCCCTGGATTGCGCACCGGGTCTGTCTGGGGCAGTGCGGCCCCGTCAAGAACCAAAGATGATAAACTCCTAGGTCTTGAGGCTCCCCGCACCCACAGCCACTCCGTCTTACCAGGTTCAGCTGAAGCCTGTTGTCCCCACAGCCTCCAGGCACCGCAAGAGGGCAGCCACGGCATCACTCAGGTCACCCGGGATGGAGCTGTATAATTGGGTATCCTCAGCGTACTGATGATACCGCATCCCCTGGTGCCGGATGACCTACATGACCCAGCGGTTTCATGTAGATCTTAAATGGGAGCGGCGATTATTATTACTATTATTCTAGCCAAAGGGCTTCTTGGAATCCAAAATCCCAGCCAGGATCTTGACCAATTGCCAGCACCCCTAGAGCAAGGGAGACCATCGCTCCTCTGCGTTGTTCGTTCCAACCATCACAAATGTGTGTCTAATGTTTGCTTAGTAATCTAAAAACTTAAATCCCGCATTGCATATCCAGGGCTCTGGAACAAAGAGGAGGCCGAGGCCTTCCATGGGGCAGCTGTCCAGTATTTGAAAGGGCCCATTTCCCTTTGCAGGAGCTTCTAGTCCCCCCGGGTCATCTTTGTGGCCTCAGTGAACATTTGCAGCCCACAATCCCTCCAATTCCTTGTTCTGCAGGATGAGAGTCCAGCTCCATGTCCCTCCCTTGAACCCGTGGATTTGATTTCTTTCCTAAATGAAGGATTTTACCTTTCTCCCTAGGTGATTCCATTCTATCATAGCCCTTTTCTGTATCCACTGAAGGTTTTTTAAAATTTTATTTCTGGAGCCAACTATGAAATGTCGGCTTAGTCGACGTGAAAAGCAGGCTGGTCATCAGGGGGTCACGGGCTACTTTGTAGGAGTGCCGCATCTCAATCGCACAATTTCCTTCAGGAGTGAGAGGGAACAGGAAAGAGGAAGACAAAAAGGCATGGCTGCAATGCCCTCCCCTTTATTTCCCCCCCACCCTTGCTCTGGCCACAGCCACACACCCCTTCGTAGGTTGCCTCTGACACCTTCAGACCTCATCGAGTCCAGCTGTGATTTCCTCGGCCCCCCTGCCCCCCGTGTGTTTTGTTTCGATCCTCCTCCACCCTTTGCACAGAAGCAAGTCGCCTCGGCTGCTTCATCCATCCACGTCCTTTCCGCACCCATTCTTTCACAAAAGCACAGCATTCAGCTTTTGTGTGTGGCTCACAACTTCCATGCCTCACAACAGGCCACACGCTACAATTTGCACTTATTAGCATTTCTCCATCTCTTTTCACGTCTTTAATAAACCTTCTACCAAAATGCACAAATTCATCTACTTCTGTAGCTTTTTACCGTTTATGTAAGGCTTGGAAGGATACCTTCCTTTTTCTCTGTTAAGCGCAACTACCCTGGATTTTCCACAATTATCCAAAACTCCTGGTTGAATCATAAGTTTATCATTTACTGCATATCATTCAGATCCTTGGCCAAAAATATGGCACTGCCTGTGTATAAATACCCCTCCCCCACTCACACACCTCTGATGTCACCACAAGCCTTCTGTACGTTTATCCAGCAAGACATTAAGCATCACGCCTCCTTGTTTTCCTGGACACCCTTTCAGAAAGCATTCCACTTGTTTTCGCACGTGCTTTATTTCCATACCAAACCACTCTCATGGTATTCCACAACCAACCTTCAACTCCCTATTTGCGCAAAGCATTCCCTGATCCATGTTGTCAACTTCATTTATTAACATCACCAGAATTGGGGTGGTGTACAAAAACATAAGAGCACCCACAAAATAAAACAGAGTAAAATAAGCCGCTCAAAGCATCAACAGAGGTAGGAGAAAGAGAGGCTGCCCAGCCGGCATTAAGCTTCCAAAGCGCCTGGAGCAACACAGGGGCCGAGCCCATCCCAGATGCGACCCCCGCAACTCCCAACTGGGCAGACCTTGACTAGGCCCTGCGGGGCATCCGGCGTTGTGGCAGAAGGCCCTGGAGATGACCTGGAAGCCAGCCTTTGCAGGGAACCTGCCCGTATCCTGATAAGTGCTCTTTGGCAAAAGCGGGTCCCACCTGCCCACCGCCTGGGCACCACAGTCTGTCTCAGTGCCAGCTTCCGAGGCAGCCCCTTGCGGGGTGCTTGCTGCAGTCAAGCCGTGCGGCGAAGAGGGCCAGGTCGCCACAGCTAGGGCTCTTTGCCCATGGGCTCTCCTTGGAACCACCTCCGCCCACTGCTCCAACACACTTTCTCTACGTCAGGGGTTGGAAGCTTTGTCTGTAAGGGCCAGATCCCACCCCTCTGCCCCCATGGGCACGGCTGGCAGGTCTCCAGGTCAAGGAGCACGGCAGCCGCTGGATGGCGCTGACCTGCCATCAAGGAGGCCACTGATAGGCTGCCGCTGCCCCTAACCTGCTGGCAACCTGCTCCCCACTAGTGTGGGTGGCAGGCTGGATTTGGCTCTGGGCTGCGGTTTGCCGACCCCTGCTCTAAATTGATAAAAGTACAATCAACTTTCCACTTTCATACCATTTGTTGGAGAGCAAAAATCTGGTCTGCATACTACCAGCCTGGCATAAAGTTGTACTTCGCAATTTTACCCGTTGTACCCTTCAGCTGGAATTTTGCTGGATGCTTTTGTGGGCACACGAAACAAGCAAATCTCCGTACAGATTTTTCATTCACTCTAGTTATTGCTCCATTATACAAAAGGAAAATTCCATGATTCTTCTAACCGCCAGAGACAGCTACAGCCTTCACACACAATTAGACAAGCTGCCAAGGCGCTGCATGAACATCGTATCCAAGCTTTAGCATTTCTCCAGTTACAGCATCCTCAACTGCAGCCTTACAGTTTTTCAACCTTTTTTAGCCTTTACAACTTCCTTTTCATGCACTTTTTCTTGGACACTACCGTTTATATATTTGTTTCGGTTCCGCTCTTTGAGGCATTACCATTAGTCTGATATAAATGTGTCAGATCCTCCTCTCAGATAAATTTCATTGTTTCAGTTTCACCCCAAATTACTTTTATTCTTTATTCCATTCAAGTCTACTGGAGACGCCTTGTTTATCTGTCTTTGTAACTTCCCAAATGTTTTTCAATCTTAAACACTGCTTGCTTTGACTACATCCTTTGGATCCTCATTTTGCAATGTTTTTCTCTCCTCCCCACCTACTGGAACAATCATTCTCTTAATAAGCATTTTGTTTTCTCATCCCCCGCCTGTTTCCCTTTCTCGTCCAAGTCTCCTTCTACCCCTTGCTATCCCGCAGACTTGCTGTGGGGAGACTTGGGAGAGGGAGGATGAACAGGCCTATCCGGTCCAACCGAGGCTCAGAGAGCCCCGCTGGGAGGGAGACGAGCCAGCGATCTGCTCCTCCAACAGCCCCCACTTCTGGAAATCAGCCTCCCTTCCCTGAGGGGGCCAAGCAGAGGCCACCCCGCTTGGCGGCTCTCCTTTGTCCTCCGGGTGCAGCTGCCGGGATGGCCCACTGGCAGCCTTGGGCCTCTCCCCACCGGCCAGCCGTCTGGCTCGCCTGCTGCCTGCCGGCGGATCAAGC